GGTTTTGCATCAGAACAGTAATGGGCCTTCAAAGGGAATTTTAACAGTGAGGGAGGGATGCACACAGAATTTCACTAAGGCAATATTACCACAAATATCACTCCTGCGACCATCCCCAGCTGCTCAGCGTGTATTGGGACGTTCAGAGCACTTGACTCTTCCAGGATCAAATCTGAAAATCTGAGTGGGAGGACTTTCCTAGATCCATTCCTCCCTGTCCAGGAACCCGGAACATGATCTGAGTTAGGGGATTATGTATGGCAGCAATTCAACGTTTTAGTACTCAGATGACTTTCTCCAGATGAGGTGTTTCTCCTCAGTTGACTTTGGAACCTGGAAAGGTCTTGTGACTTCTGTGATGAGGTAGTAGTCACCTGGAGTAAACTGACATCCAGTATACTTTGGAGGTTAAGTATGTGGATCTGACCGTCCCATTACTGGTTATATGAGAACTGCCCCTTACTGGTTATATGATCTCAAACAGGTTATTTCAAGTTTGGTGTTTCAGCCTTTTTACCCATACTATATTATGGTGCCAGATACTTTAAATATACAATACTATATGCAGAGGTTTGCTTTGTGATTTCCATAAGATAATTTTCAGAATCTGTGCAGAATTCTTCAAACAAACAGTAAAGCCTCAGTTAAAGCAAGTTATAAAATGTGAAGGGATAATGTAGATATGTTGATGTGTTCAAGTGTCATTCAGAGGTGGAATTAAATGAAAGTGAGTAGAATAATAATAGCAAGCATTTAATATAGCAATATGTGTAAAGATGGTTATTAGTGCTTTACATGTATTTAAGCAAACAACAGTGAATGACAGGACAGCATTCACAAGCGACTCTAGACTTTCTAGAACAGTGATGATTGTGGGTTAAGTCCATGGTCTCAGGAATGGAGACAGCATCTAGTGCATTATGTAGCACTGCAAATAGATCTTCAAGGCTCAATATGAGGCTCCAATCTTTGTGCAGAGTGGCTTTTAAACTGCATTATTAGGGATACTGTAGCCCTTTCACTAGTGTGATGAGGGACTGGGCCACCGAAGCCCTATGGCAGAGCCTTGGTCTAGAGCTGTTCTGCCTGCCCAGCATTTAGGATGGGGAGAATATCAAGACTTTCTCTGGTATATCCAACAGCTAGAGTTTGAGTCTTGTGGTGGCCACTGGTATGATCCAGCAGCTCAGTGTTGATGGTCAGATATTCATTTAACATGACAGAATAGGAACCTGGTTCATTTATTACCTCAACACTCCACCGAGATTCATTTGCCTAAAAGATGTAGCTGTTATCTCTAATGGTTTTAGGAGGCTAACCTACAGGGAGGAAGTCCTGAAAATAATTAATTCTTAACTCTCACTTACTAATTTAGCCAATCTTCCTAACAATTTTGAAATATTTCTTTTATTGATGAAGAAACTGAGCCACAGGGCTTTTTGCAGTTTCACTGCAGGTTTGTTGCAGAGCTAGCGCAAACCCAGGGAGCGGGGCTCCAGAGGCCACGCTCGTAACCACAAAGGATGCTTTAAAGTTAATTCTGAAAAAAATCTAAAAATAAAAATAATACAGCAAATGCCGAATGCTAGGCGGACAAACCCACCACGAAAGTCTAAAAATAACCATGAGGTAAATTTTAATTGTCAACTCAAAAATGAAAATAGTGAGTACTACTTAAAGAAGTATCTCCAGTGAAGATGTCTAAAAAAGATGGAGAGGCTCTGGCTGTGTCCTCTAGCTGGAGGTCCAGACAAGGCACCCACAGGCCAGAGACAACTGTGATCAAGACAGTGACTGATGAGCTGATGGCCCTGTCTCATCCTTCAGTTGGCAGGAGTCATAGCTGCAGAAGATTCCCTTCAAAAATCTGGATTTGCACCCTGGCCAGTGTGTTCAGTGGTTAGAGCATGGACTTGTGCACTGAAGGGTCACATGTTTGATTACCTATCAAGTGCACATACTTGGGTTGTAGGTTTGATCCTGGGCCCCGGTCTGGGCATGTGCAGAAGGTGACCAATTGATGTGTCTCTCCCACATCGATGTTTCTCTCTCTGTCCCCCTCCCTCCCTCCCTTCCACTCTCTCTAAAAAAATCAATAGGAAAAATATCATTGGGTGAGGATTAACAACAACAACAAAGACATAGAAAGACTCCCTCCTCACCCCCGACTTTATTGAGGTATAATTGACAAATAAAAATTGTATACATGTAAGGTATACAACTTGATATTTTGATGTACATATACTCTTTGAAATGATCACTACAATCAAGCTAATTAACTCATCTACCACCTCATGTAGTTACCATTTTCTTCCTTTTTTAAAAAATAAGAACACTTAAGCTCTATCTTCTTAGTAAATTTCAAGTATACAATACAATATTGTTAATTACAGTCACCATGCTGTAGACCTCCAGAGTGTATTCATCTTACATGACTGAAACTGTGGACCCTTAGACCAGTGCCTCCGCATTCTCCCCACACTCCAGCCCAAGACAGTCATAGGCTTTTAATTCTTAATGCTGTTTACAGAGTGGAAGGAAAGTGCCTCTTTCTCAAGTCCCTTGTTTATACCCACATTCGTGCCATTGTTTGAACAGGAGGGAGGTGAAAAATGGAGGGATTCAGAGTCAGAGATGATCCAGCCAACATATTCTGTCTGTAAAAAGTGAAACACATTTTTGAACCTCTGACTCATGGGACGTGAACCAAAGCCTTTAGCCTTAGTTAAGCCTTATAACTTCTTGAAACGGGAAACATTTGTTGACAACCGATCTTCTTTTCTCAAATTCATGCTTTAAATAGTATTCTGCATATGCAGATGTTTGCATCTCGTTAATACCAAATCTTTTCTGCATTCTTATTTGTTATGATGTAAGGAAAGGATTTCATTTCATTTTTCGTATGCTTCTTTAATTTTAGTGAACACATTGGAAGGTTGTTTCAATTTTTGTTTAAATGTTCTTTGAACCAAAATATTTACAGAACAAGGAGTTCTTCTAGCCAGCAGATTGTTCCATTTGTTGTGTTTGAGTGTGGAAACATTCGGAATGAGGGCAGAAGATGATGCCGTAGAACTCTTTCATAAACAACCTAATAGCATTGTCTAATGCGGCCTCTGTTTATTAAAGGTGTCAGAGACTCCTTTGCTATATTTAGGTAAAATCTAAAGTTCTTTACTCAACCATGGAAAATACTATTTGTTTCTGCTTGGGAGGAAAACAGTATGACCAAGTAAAAGAATTATGCTTAGCTGGAAACAATTATCAAAAGAGTCTCTACTTCAAGAAGGAAAAAAATTGTAATTTTGTTTTTGTGTGTATTTTTTTAAACCACAATAATGCTAATATTTAATACCTTTTGTAAAAATATTGTGTGCATTTCTGTCTTAGTCTGTGGACATTAGTTGATAAATGACTTTATCTTTTAATTGGAGTTTTTAATTAATCACATAATAGCAGAGCAAATACATTTTAATAATAACTAATACGGTGGCTGGGCACTACACTTTCTATATCCTATTTTCTAAGAGCTTATGTTATATTTATTAACTGTTAATAATTGAGTTTAAGAAATATATGTATCTATCATAGCTTTATTAAGGAAACAAGTATATATTTATATTAAAGTCAACATGGGATGGCCATCTCAGGCAAGAATAAGCCCATGTTTGTGACAACAGAGGAAAATGGCCTTAGAGTTTAAGAATGTGTTAAAGAGTAAAGTTGGGTGGTTAAGATTTGCATAGAATACATGTAGGTTTAGAGTACTTGACTGACAAATCACAATTTTATATTTAATCTAATAGGAATTACACACACATTCATGTAATATATACATATATATTAAATTGCACATTCTTTTTTTTTTTTTTAATCCTCACCCGAGGATATTTTTTTTATTTATCTTCAACTAGAGAGGGAAGGAGGGAAGAAGAGAGAGAGAGAGAGAGAGAGAGAGAGAGGTGAGAGAGACACATTGACTGTTTGCCTCCTGTATGACCCCGACCAGGGCTGGGACCAAACCTCAACCAAGGTACATGCCCTTGACCAGAATTGAACACATGACTCTTTTGTCCACAGGCCGACGCTCTAACCGCTGAGCTAAACTGGCCAGGGCAAATTATACATTCTTAATTTAAAAAATTAAGAGTTAGAGTTTTATATGTTACTAAGGAATGTGCAGTATATTTTTACAATTATAAATTGTAAAGCATTCCCTACTTAATGCAAATATTAACTACTGAAATGTGACTTCCTGTGGAATTATTATAGCAGAGATAACATTATAGCAGATCCAATATTTAGTAATTAAGTTGTTTATATTGTTGTAGTAGAAAAATAGAAATTAATTAGAATATTGAACCCTATGGAATAAAAATCTTATTAGGCAAATTTTTGTCATATATGTACCATTGTTTCTAAATCTAGGCTGGGACTACGACTAGAAATAATCTCTTCGTTTCTTCTTTATCTTATTATCATTGACCTAGTTCAACTCTTTCTCTATCACATATTATTACAATTTCTTATTGCTTTTCCTGCTTCTAGTCATTACGAGTTTTGTTAAACCTATTCTTTGTAATTGTTGTAATTCAACATGCTTCCAGAATCCTCCAACAATCCCTGTCTAACCAACCTCTCAGTTTTATTCCAACATTCTCTGCAATACATTCTTTGTGTAAGGAAAAAACAGGCTGCTTGCCTCTACTGGAATAGATCCTGTGTCCTTTCTACGTTTTTTTCTTATCTGAAATAATTTCCCAATATCCTCGATCACTAAAATGATAACCATTATTTATGGACTAGCTCCAATGCTTTTTTTTCTTGGTAGCCTCATAAACTTCAACCTGAATTATTTTGTTTTTACATATGGTTCTTGGCTCTCTGTGCCCACAGCAATTTTGTGTTCATTTGTTAACACAGTTGTTTATGTTCATGTTTGGTCTTTCTATCTAATTTGTAAACTTTTTTTCCTTCTCTGTTTTTTTTTTTTCTCTTAGCATGTGAAAGTCACATCTGGGCCTCTGTGTCATGCTGGAAGACATCTTCATCAGATCATCCTAGAGCAGTGCTACAGTTTTGTTTGTGTGAATGTAAGTAGTAAATACAAATGGCTGAAAGCACTCGAGGAGCTTATAAATATAATGGGGAAGAGAACTTAAGTTTCTTGATTATTAAATATTTGACTTTAATATTTTGATAGATGAATTGTGTTATTTAATATATATTTGGAAATTTTATTTTTTGTCTTTTAAAATAGAAAAATAGCATTTTTTAGCAGCTAATTCCCATAATGTGAAGATGATGATATTTCTTTAGACTGTGTTTTCAGTTTTGTACTTGGTATAAAGCAGATAAGACTACACAGGTTTGGATTAATAAATAGTACAAATTTTATAGGTATAAAATTATGAGTATTCTTTAAAATTGATTGAAAATTTAAAATTGAGCTTTATAAATATTTTGAATGATTGTGTAAAGTTCTCCATATTTTCTCCTTGAATTAACTTTTAAATAATTTAAGAACTTTTTTTCATTTCCTTTTATTTTTCTGGTCTTTTAGGTTATGACCTCTGAATTTGAAGAAACCCAGAAATTACTGAATTTGCTTAAAGAGAGTAATTTTTCCATTTTGTATCCTGTTGTTGTTATTTCAGTAAGTGAATTAATACAGATTTTTCTCTTCAGACATATGCATCCTTTGAGCTCACTCTCTTACTATGATTCTATTGACTGCCTCCTCTTATTTGGCTGACCTGACAGGTTTGGAAAATAATGTAATTCAGCCTAGAAACCAGTTTCATTTCTTTTTCTTCATTACAATCTCAGAATGCATTGCTATGTTGACTAGCTGTTTGGATTATGTGAAAGAGCTTTATTTAGCATATTTCCAAGATGCCATTAGAGAAGAAATCCTGAAGTTAAAAAAATAAATGAGAGAAAAAATCAGCTGAAGAAAATCCACTCTTCGGTTGCTCCATCCTCTCTGTTATATAGAGAGCGAAGAGTAGCAACAAATCCAAGGAGTTCCTAGAAGAATAGCTCATCAAACGCTGGAGAGAGCTTTCTGTAGCAGAGTAACAGTGTGTGTTTAGTACAGAGTTTACTCGTGTGGAAGAGGGAAACATCAGGGAGCAACACCAGGAAGAAGAAAGACCAGAGGCCAGGCCTGCCACACTGCCTGAGGAGCCGAGCCTGGGCTGTGGGAAGGGGTTCCAAACATGAAATTCTTGACACAAGTTCTTAGCAACTGCCAAGTTTCTAAAGCTCAGGTCTGTTCCATAGTGTGGGAATTGAATTCTCGTTGGGTAAGATCATTAATACAGAATAAAGATAATTTGCACTAGAAATAGGTAATTCTAGACTAGACAGTGCAAGTAGAAACAAATGAGCAGTTGAAGGGGTTTTATTTCACTGTCCTGTTGTGTTTGGTTATATGCCCCAAAGATAAATTCCTTGGGTCCTGCTGATTATGGAAACCCAAGTTCCACATGTGACGGATTTTCACAGAAATACAGATGTTTTAATCGAGGTTTTTAAAACAGTACTCAGTACTCAGTGCTGGAAGGCTTTAAGGATCTGTAGGATAGTGGTAAGTTCAGAGTTCTGTGTTTGTTTCTCTATTTCTCTGTCTACATTATAACTTCCTTAGAAATTTCATTCAGTCCATGTTCCCAGATATTATTATCAAGAGGCAGTGCAGTGCTGAGACTAGAGCAAGGGCTTGGAACTCAGAATACCTTAGTTCCTTGATCAAGTTTCTTAACTTTTATGAGGCTTGCTTTCTTCATTTTAGAAATGAGGCTAATAACCCTACCTCTTAAATCATTAAGGATTAAAATGAATGCACACAAAGTGTCATTGATATCACAGTATTTGGCCCTTGGCAGGCACACAGTGTTAGTTTCATTTAATAGTCTAGCTCCTTTTAGTTCCAGTTTGGATGAGGTGACTCAGAGTTTACTTTCTGCTTTTATCTGATTCCCAAGCATCAGTCATACATTTGCAACATTGTATTAGGTACTTCCCTTTGAGTACTTCACCATCTTCTCACACCTGGCATAGCAGATCTATCACAAAACACATCCCCATCAGTGACTTTCTTAGTGGCAGTGCAGTTGTGACAGGCGCCCAGGTGCGTGGGAATCTGTGTCACTGTTGGTATTTCCTTTTTCCTCTGCCTCTTTATCACACACACACACACACACACACACACACACACACACACACACTACCTGGAATTCTGTATCAAACTAAGGGAAAAGATGGGCAATTCTCTACTTAGGGAGGAAATACCTTTCAAAACTTGTGTGAAAATAGTTTTATAAGTTTGTATACTATAAATCTACATACTATGAACACTGTAAAAGATTTATGTTAAATTGCAGAGTTGTCAATCCACAATCAATATGTGTTCGCCTGTTGTTTTCTTATTGCACAGGTAGACTCAGTGTGCTGATATTAAGGTTGTTATTAAAATTAAGAGGAAAATGTCAGCAGAATATATCTAGACTCCGTATCCTCAGGATATTTAGCATAGTTAGATTTTATTACATGAGACTTTATTGTTACAATGTCAAATTCTCCCTGGCTTTTATGAGAGTGAAAGGGGTTAGGAAACATTTAATGTAGGGGGTCTTTGTTATCTGAGATAAACGCATAGGTAGGTAGAGGCTACTGCTTTAAGAACCATTTAAAGAAAGGAACAAAATTTCACTTGAAAGAGTAGGAAGAATAATTGGAACTTTATCCTAAGAGAATTAAGATATTTACTAAAATAATTTTATTTTATCTTCTATTTAAGAAAATGTTATGTTTGAAAAAAATGAACTTTTTTGCAAATTTTGTAAACATTGTATGATAGTGTGATTTCCTTCCAGTGATCATTTCTACAAAATATTTTGGACAATTTTAGTTTTGTAAAAAATATCCTTTATTAATACTTTGATATTCAACGTGCTGTTTTGGACCTCTATTCTTATTTTCTTTTTATATATTTAAAGTTGTGTAATTTTGCCAAGTTCTTATTTATTGATGGTGTTGAGTATGATTGAAGGAATTTACCAATGTTAATTTGATCAACATAATGACATCCTGTGTTTTGGTAGATGTAACTTAATTTCATTGAATTATCAGAATTTTCAAAATTTCTACAAGCAGCTTGAGATTGACTGTTGGTAGTGTTGATGACAGGGGCCAAAATCGATGACAGCATTGAGGTGGGCAGAGAGGGTTGGATGGGGTCACTTAGTAAGTATCCTGTCTCTCAGTGTATCTGTGAGAATCTATTCTGTATCACACAATCTTTTAACTGCAGGTCTTTGGAAACATGTATTCAGATAACAGTCACACCTTATACTAGGAGAATATTCTCTACTTGAAAGAGAAAAAAGATATGCCTTTTAAAAAAAATTTAAGACTAGTTAGCACAAAGGAATTTAAAAAAGGTAGAACCCTTGCTATATCTTTAACAAGAAAACCTTATAAACATAAAAAAACAATACTTTCTTATGTAAAGTTTAACAGTGCAGGAATTATGTTTGAGACTCCTTTTCAGATTTCTGATGCTGTTTAGTCTTTCGAGTCAGTTATGGAGCCAAAGTCTTTATCCTGAGTTGACTGTTACTCTTAGCCTTCTCTCTTTTGCAAATCCCAGGGGTACATGGTATTGCTAGCACCTCTTCAGATGGTGGCTCTCAAGAGGATTATCTGAAAGCTCTTTTTTGTACTCATCCGATACAATAACCATCAATATGGGACATGTTCAGTTTTCTGTTTTCTACTCCTATCATGTGTTTTTGTTTACTACTTAAATAATGATGAACACATATTTGAATAGATAAAATAATATATTCAATGTATTAGAATACGGTAATTTCATAAAATTTCTGATATAAAAATCACTACGAAAGAACATAGGCTTTTACTTAAATTAAACAAAACTCAGAAGTGCCAAGAGTGAGTTATTAATTGAGTTCTTGGCTTAGAAATTAATGATCAGACAGCTGGGTTTGTTGTATCATTTTCCCATCACCATTTATTCCCTCTATGCGACCTTCTACCTCCAACCCTCACCCCTGCAATCACCACACTGTAGTCCATGTTCATGAAATGTTTTTCTTTTTCTCAATCCTTCCACTTCCCCCAATGCCCCCCATCCCCACCCCACCAGAGCTGTCTGCCTACTCTCTATGAGTCTGTCTGTGTTCTGCTTGGTAGTTCAGTTTGTTCATTAAATCCTACGTTTGAGTGAGATCATATGGTACTTGTCTTTCTCTAACAGGTTTATTTCACTTAGCGTAATGCTCTCTTGGTCCGTTCATGTTTTTACTCTTTTCCACAATCAAGAGCTGTTTTTGTTTGTTTGTTTGTTTGTTTTATAACAATGTATAAGAGAGTTTCAGGAGACAAAACTAACAATAGCTGTTTTTTGGTCAAGATTATGAAAACTCTGAAGAAATACTTTTCCAGGTTCCAAAAGTATCAGAGGGATTCTAATTTATTTGGATCTGGCAGGATTTTCACAAAACATCAGGTACTACTATCAGGTGATAATGAACAGTATATTCTTTACTAAAGCTTACTTTTTCAGTGAGCATAGCAGAACATAATTGGCAACAAATCTCAATAGAAGTTCAAAATTGATAAATGGATCAAATTCTTTAATTTTACTTAATAAAGTAGTTTATCATTTTTCTAAAACAAAATAATTTAACAGTAACTATTTGGACAATTATAGGAGAGTTTGACTTTCCTTTGACAATGCAGACACTTTTATTGGTGCTTTATGAGAGATAGGAATGTCTTCATGAATTCACTTCAGCAAAACATAAATTAACATATGGAATTTTAATGCTTTGAAAAACATAAATAAACCTTCAAAAGTGTCTAATTTAGTTCTAGTTACTGGGAAGTAGTTTATTGACACAACAGATTAGAATATATGATATTTAAAACACTTCAAAATGTTTAATATTTGAACATGTCAGCAAATAACAAAATAGAAAACCACCGTCCATTGACACTTGATACTTCCACATCTGGGGAAACAGTCACAAAGATGTAAATTGTTTCCAGAAGGTTCCACAGCTCACCAATGGCAAAGCCATGAACAGAATCAATCCAATATGCAATGTATCAAATGCACTTGTTACTTTTATGCTCTCACGAATGTGTTAAATAATAAGATGGAACAAGATTAAAAATATACATATACACACATATATGTATTTAATATTTCTTCCTAATAAAGAACAAATGACAATTGGAAAAACATAGATTCCTTCTTTTAAGTGCTAATGAGTTCTTACTTTAGCTTCACAGGGTATTGAGCCTTTATTGAATTTAATTTATAAAACTCTGTGATCTCGTTAAATTTCTTACCAGCTTCCTGACATGTGTCTTTGTCAACTTTTACTTAACTGTTTGTTCTGTATGCTTCCCTCCGGTTAACCCTATTTTCACTAGGCTAGGAAGATGTGTTTTTATGGCAAAAGTTCTTATAAAACAAACAAATGAGAGCTGTTGTAATTCTCACTGCTTCCATATTGGGGAGATATACATAAAAGATTCCTAGTTTATTTGTATGTACTTTTGAATGGATATTTTATGTGTGTTTAATAGGCAATGAATGACCTAAGGAGTAGGTTCAAATAC